TAAATAAATAAGTAAATAAATAAATAAATAAATGGCATGGTACTGGCAGACAACAAACAGACCTGAGGATTAGTGGAACAGATTAGAAGATGCAGAAACAACTCCAAACACACTCAGCCACTTTATGTTTGACAAAGGGGCCAAATACATTCACATAAGTGAATATTTTGATACACTGAATTTGTGACTATTTTTCTTTAATTTGTGCCACAACAAAGACATTAATGAACATTAATGTAAAAGTCCTCAATAAAATGCTGTTGATAAGATACTCCATTACAAATTTTTGAAGTCAAGCTCTATTCATTATGCCTTTCTTATACTTGTATTTGAATGAGTGTAAATTCTAAAATCATATCATGAATTTAAATTGGAAAGTGAGATCATATTAAGTCTTAGTTTGCATTCACCCTTTAGCACTATTGTTTGCTTCATAGTTATCTCATTCTAGGCCAGCTACTCAATAGCATAGCATAGCATAGCATAGCATAGCATAGCATAGCATAGCATAGCATAGCATAGCATAGCATAGCATAGCATCAAATCAACCTAACAATCTATGTGTATTCTGTAGAATATTCCAAAAGATAATTCATTCTAATAAGAATTTATAATAAATTCTGCAAACTACTGATATTAGCCATTTATTATTGTTAATTTACCATTTTGAAATAACATTATTGGAAATATAGCTTAAATAACACTCATTGATTTTAATATTAGAATATTTGCAAGTGCCAGGCCGCTGGTTATAATCTCAGCACCACATAACACATACACACACACATACACACACAATTATATCTATATCACTAATTTATTTCACTTTCTCACAACAATTAATATTTAATGTCCTTTCACTTTTCCATTTTAAGAACAAAGCAACCTATAAGTGACAATGAAGTTTTTAAAACACTTTTGTTTTAAACAATAAACTATTCAAAACTTGAAAAAATAGATTTAGGAATTTGAACTAAAAAAGATACTTGTATTCAAATTTCTTTTGAAAGATTTTTATTATCTGGTATGCATGCCTGTAATTCCAGCACTTGTGAGGCTGAGGCAGGAGGATAACTGTGAATTTCATGACAACCTGAGTTGAATAGTGAGTTCAAGACCACCCTAGACTATACAGACCCCATTACCAAAAATTAATTTTTTAAATCTTTTCTAAATAGTATTTAATGTTCACATCTATATATTACCAGGAAAGAGTTTAAGATGCTATTTAATTCCTTGAGTACTACCTTGTATATTTAAAATAGAAAAATATATATTATGCTCTGGGTCCAATGATCAATTATATATGTAATCATAATCTTTCAGAATGTTTAATAATCTTGACTGGAGAGAATAGTTTTTAGGTGGTCATTCTCTATATTATGAATTATTTTATATAGCTATACTTTAGGTAGTACAACATATTTTTTTCTAACAGTTTTCACAATTTGAGAGAATAATCTACAACATGAAATGTTGGTAGGGTACTCCTCTTGACTGCTATTTGATACCCATTTTTGTAACCTAATCACATTTCAGAAGATCTATATACATTGCTGCCTTTCTCCAGTATTTAAGGCTATGATTAATTCAGTATATGTAAACCATTCTTATTTTTCCACATGATTAATGATATCTATTTGACATTAGATATTCATTTTCCTTCAGATTTCTAAGTTAAATCAGTATCTTTCTTTGCAACTATCACTAAAGGATGACTAAGCATTTTGAAGGAACTAATAATATTTGAAAACAAACATTTCATCTATAACTATGTATGCAATTCAAGACAGAGGTTTTGGTCTATAGTAGTCTTCCTAAAATGATGGTTACCTCTTCAATTCCACGAGGCATAAAGAATGAATCATGAGGCCACAGTGTTCAAGTCCTTGCTCTGGCATGGTATATGACTTTAGGCTGGTTATTTTCACTCTCAATTCTTCAATTTCCTTATCTACAAAATGTGATTATCAAAGTGCCATGCCCACAGAGTTATTTGAGAGATACATTGAGTTAATTAATATAGTAAAATGCTTAGAATAATATCTGCTATACGGAGGCTTATCATCAACTGGAAAAAAGTGATTTAATACCCTTTTTTGATATGTAAAAATACAAAAACAATGTAGCTTGATTTTGTTATGAACAATGTAATTTAACTCTAATTATAATCTTGCTACTGTATTAGAAACAATTTTCTGTTTGCACAGATTTAGATTCCATTTACATAAAAAATACTTTATTATTTTCAGTTGATATTTTACTTCACCCCATATTGATATATATAGTATCTCTTCTGATTTACCTAAATCTGAAAAATATTTAAGTTGTTATTACTGTAATTACTATTACCTTTATAAAAATTAATAGAAATAGAATCAAAATAAATTTAATTCTGTAGCATATTATATTCTCATCTCTCCAAATTCTGTATTTAGGCTCAATTATGGTTATGGCACAATATGTGATATGACAATTATCTACTTCAATAAGGAGAAACATAATAATTTAAATGGATTAATTTGTTTACTTAAGTGGTATTCATTGAGTGGCTGCTACATTTCTTGCAAAAGTACTATCATCAGAATGTGAGACTATTGACATACTTTTAGAGTAAATTATTTAATTATTTAACATAAGTTACAACTAACATATTAATTAGATATTTAAAAGATATGTAAGGAAAGAAAATCCTAGAAAGATAAGTGCTCTATACTGAATATTCATGCCAAACAATAAATTGGTTGACTCTGTCTCTGTGGTATCAGTGGTACCTTATTGTAGCAGAGTATTCACAACACCTATATGCTTTGCTGAAATCAAATTTTTACACACATTTCTCATCTTCAACATATATGAGTAGTGCCCTAAGGCATCCTTTCTCACAGACTGAAATGCTTTAGATCATTGCCTCTTATTTTCAAACAAAGCAAGAATGGTCCAGGAATATGATACTTGGTAACATAGGATGAGTGTAGTAACGTCAATCTCTTACAAAATACAGATTATACTTCCCTAGGTAAAAAATGTAGCTTAAGACTCTATCATGTTTCTGTCTAAGACATTTTTACTCACCTAATTTTTATCTTGATATTACCCTGAAAATAGAAGTAGAAGTCCTATCATTCTCTGGGGTTTAGTATCTTATTGCTAAATTCCCTTTTATTTTCTCTCCATTTCTTAGAATTGGCTTCTAATATAGGTTCTAATATTACTAGCATTATTTATAAATTTAGTATATCTTCAAATTGTAAAAAACTTAATACAAAAGTAGATACATTTTTACCGAATTGTCTTATTTTCACACCAGTAAAGGAAAGTAAAACCTATTTAAAAATAATAAAATTTGACCCATGTGGTACAAAATATCTTAAATTTTTGCACCTTCATGTATTTATTACATTCTTGAAAATAAACCGATATAACTACCATGAACTCATGTCACTAAGAATGGATATTTTATAATAACTTACCACTCTTGGTTAGATAATGTACAAAAATATAAATTCTTTGAAGTTCACAGAGAGGGAGCGTGAGAGACACAGATATTCTTTTCTTCTGCGTGCTCACGATGAGTCTGATGAACAATAAATGAATGACATTATCACACAATAGTAAAAATGTCAGCGTTCCTTCTTTTAAAAATCTATAGTTTTAATTTAATTTAATTTTAAAAAGTAAAACAAACAAAAGCAAAAGCAAAGAGAAACATAGTAACATACAATACATATTGTACAGATTTTCAAAACGAGAATAGCAAATTAACGATGGTTGCATTTTTACCATCAAATCTGTTGCCCAGATTAACAGATATAGGTGTGCAAGACTGGACAAATAACTGAACATTAACACTTGCTTTTAATAAACCTTAATTTTTTTGTCTTTTGTACATTTTTATTTTTCAATTTATTTCAAAGACAGTATAAGATGATTGAGAAGGCGTTAGAAATGGTACACATTTAGAAGAAGAAGATGAGAGGATTCAATCATGGTTTTTGTATACATTTTTAAAAATGTTCATTTGAAACATTAAAAGTGCTTCGATTAAAAATGCTACACTAATTGCTCAATTGAGACGCAGGGTGGCGCTGCAGGCTAAGATTGTGAAAAAGCCCAAAGTCGCAAATGCCTTTGTGTCGCGAGAAGTCAGGGAAGCTTTGCAAGCAATGCGGAGTTATCAGCAGACTGGGAACATGGTATACTGTGCGTTTTAAGAATAAAAAATATTCAGTGACAATACCTTCAAAGGAGAAAACAGAAATCAGTGCAGTCTTTCTGTGAGTGCTACAAGGACTGAATAGAAGCACCTGGACTCCGACATGGAGAAGCCAAAGAGAATTCAACCAAAGAGGCAAGTAATGGCCTTAATTTTTATAATGGTCTTGATGCAGGTTGACTCGGAGCTTATTCGTTACTCTGTACAGGAGGAAACAGAGGGCGGTTCCGTCATTGCCCACCTCGCTGATGGCTTGGGCCTGGGAACTGGGGAACTGGCAGCCAGGTCGGCACAGGTATTGTCTGATGATTACAAGCAGCATTTGTTGCTGGATCCTCAGACTGGAGATTTGTTATTGAGGGAGACACTAGACCGGGAAGAGCTTTGTGGGCCTGCTGAACCGTGTCTGCTGCGTTTCCAGGTCTTCCTTGAAATGCCAGTGCAATTTTTTCAGGGAGAATTATGGATTCAGGACATTAATGACCACTCCCCAACGTTCATGGATGGGAACGTGCTCTTGAAAATACCTGAAAGCAGCCAACCAGGGACTGTATTTCCCCTGAAATCAGCCCAAGATTTGGATGTGGGCAGCAACGGGATTCAAACATACACAATCAGCCCTAATGATCATTTTCACGTTCTCACTCGAAATAACAGTAAGGGTATGAAGTTCCCAGACCTGGTACAGGACAAGCCGCTGGATCGGGAGGAGCAGGCTGAGTACAGCTTAATTCTCATGGCTCTGGATGGCGGGTCTCCATCGAGGTCTGGCACTGTCATGGTTCAAATCCTGATCCTGGATGTCAATGACAATGCTCCTGAATTTGTGCACACCCTATATGAGGTTCAGGTCCAGGAGAACTGCCCCTTAAATTCCCTCATCCTGACTGTCTCAGCTAGAGACAAGGATGCTGGACATTTTGGAAGTGTTTCCTATGGCTTGTTCCAGCCATCAGATGAAATTAAACGAACTTTCTCAATACATGAAGTCACGGGAGAAATTCGACTGCAAAAGAAACTGGATTATGAAAAAATTAAGTCTTTCCATGTGGAAATTGAGGCCACAGATGGAGGAGGCCTTTCTGGGAAAGGAACAGTAGTGATAGAGGTGGTGGACGTGAATGACAATGCCCCTGAACTGACCATAACCTCACTCACCACCTCCATCCCAGAAAATGCTCCTGAGAGCATTGTCTCTATTTTCCGCGTGGGAGACAGAGATTCTGGAGACAATGGGAAGATGATTTGTTCTATTCCAGACCATCTGCCTTTTGTCTTGAAACCAACATTTATGAATTTCTATAGCCTGGTAACAGAGAGCCCTCTGGACAGAGAGACTAGGGCTGAGTACAACATTACAATCACGGTTACCGACTTGGGGACACCCAGGCTCAAAACCCAGCACACCATAACAGTGCAGGTCTCTGATGTCAACGACAACGCCCCCACCTTCACCCAATCCTCCTACACCCTCTTCGTCCCAGAAAACAACAGCCCCGCCCTGCTCATAGGCACCATCAGCGCCACAGACAGAGACTCAGGCTCCAATGCCCAGGTCACCTACTCGCTGCTGCCGCCCCAACACCCGCAGCCGCAGCCGCAGCCGCAGCCGGACCCCGCCTCGCTCGTGTCCATCAACGCCGACACCGGGCAGCTGTTCGCGCTGCGGGCGCTGGACTACGAGGCCCTGCGCGCCTTCGAGTTCCGCGTGGGCGCC